CGTCCACATCCGCCCGCGCCCAGCCGGTTCTTCAGTCGTTTCTCGCCCTCATTAGGCAGAATGCCCACTGGAGGTGAGCATCGTCCTTCTTCCCTTTTGTCGCCTTTTTTTTTTGTGCTGCTTTGGCAAAATTATTACGAAATGGTGTCATCCCGTAATATCTTCGTTTCCGTTTCTTCTGTCGAAAGTCGCTGCGTCTTGTGAATTTTATCATTTTAGAACAATTCTTTTCCAAAAATTGGTTTCTTTTTACATTCAAACCAGGGCTATTTAAATAGATCATGAGTTTAGTTCTTTGCTCTTTAATATGGAAAGTTTCTATAATTTTGCCTTGACTGTAAGAGGGTTTAGAACTAAATGCACGAGATTTCATTTCATTAGGGAAGACGACATCTTTACCTTCCTTGACAAAAATATATTTTTTATCTCTTTAACTGCAAGACGCATACCACATAATAATTTCAGCGACATAATTCCACGTCTTTGGATCATGACAAAATACAAACTATACTTGTTTAGTTTGTAGTTTCCAAATATACTAGTGAATGTCTTCGAATAAATTTGACTTAAGATGAGTTAGTACAAAAATAAATTATCTCACCGTAAATTAAAATACAAAATTATAAAAATATTAGTAAAATGCGAAATTTTCAGTCTCCTTTGATCTTATGTGCTCAGGATATTATCATTTATTGAAGGTCTTAGGATTTATTGGTTATCCGCAGTTTTACTCAGTTACGTACAGTGCTTAAAATGTCTATGATACATAAATGCCGGATAGTTCGTTGCCATCGTTATTTTTGCTTATGACGAAGCGAAGGAATAGCCTAGTAAGAAGGCATATACCGTGTGAGGCTCAGGAAAGGATTTCCATCAGATTTACCTGATATGAGGGTTGTCCATTCATCGATTTCAGAAAAAAAATATATTAGGCTGTATACGTTCACCGAACATTTTGTAGAATTATGTATTTAAAAATTATTTTTGTATTTTCTAAAACGCCATCAATGTTGGAATGAATAAAAACACCTCCAAGCAAATAATAAATAGAAATCCAGAATATAATTCAGGACATCACAAATAGTTCAACCACACGTATGCCCTAAAATTATTAAAAGTATATTTGAAATAACCTCTACAATTATTACTGCATTTCCTATTTTATGAAACGTTCATGGTATGTCGTAATTAATACAATGTAAATTTCCTCCAATTTTACGCGAATCAACGCTCGCTATCTCAACGGAGATGCCTGTACATCTGGGGATGATTTTTTATACTAGGATCCAACATGGCGGTGGCAGTGTGAAACAAAGTGGTCACAACAAAGGGTTGAGAAATGAACATGATCTCCTTCACAACCTTCAACCAACACCAAGACTTGTCGTTCCGTTTAAAATTTAATACATTAGGTCTATAGTAATATATAATAATATTTTTTTGCTTCTTCCATCACTGGTTTACGTAACCTCCTCATCTTGGGGCTCTCCTTGGTCAACACTCAAGACATCAGTACATTTGTTGCAAAATCAGAGACAGATCTGTACAACGCGAACCATCGCCCTCACAAGAAGGTAATCATCCATCTTCAAAATTCGAATCTACATCCCTCCGACGCGGATGCTGAGGTGGGACTTCGAAGCGAATGCTGAGTGCAGGCAACTATCATTTTTGGCGCGAAGGCGGCAAAATTAATTCAAATTTGGAGCCACACTTGGAGCTCAGTTAGTTTGGCAACTCTTTGAGGTATATATGAAGAAAATATTATACATTTCAAACTTGGCGCCTTCGACATTGTCTTACAAATAGCGAATTGTCTCACAAATAGCAAGATTTAATTTTATATGAAACTCTTTGAAATAAGCTTTCAAACTGCTTCCAAAAGTGAGCGGTAGATTGCATCACCTCCTGGCTTGGTAGCGAAAAAGCTTTGCACATTGTAGTAACTTCCCGAAATAGTAGTAATTGTAGTAACTTTTCTCATAAGACGCGAGGAGATCGCATTGAGAATCCGGAGCCGCGAGCAGTTTCGTAGCAATCGTGTCGAGAAGCTAAATAGTACATGAATTGGGTGCATTGAAAGTTGATTTTGTACGTTGGCAGCACGGTCTGTAGTATCCGTGAAACAGCGCTTCGGAACACAAAAAAAAAAAAAACACCAGGAAGCATCAATAACGAATAGAATCCGTAAGAAGAACGCTCATTTTCGTCCAGACCAAGGTAACCACGACAATGTCTTCAATTTTAATGATTCTTATGGCAATGTGTTAATCTTGTCAATTGTGTGTCTTCTTTTTAGAATCTTCTCGTCTGACGAGTACAGAGAAGGGCGATGGACAGAACTTCTCGTAGCTTCTGCAATGGTCTTTCAATCATCTAAGCAATATTTCGCTGCCTCGACAATCATACCAACCCTTCAAGACAGATCCGTTCGTTTCAAACAACACATTAATAAGCCGCAATCCTTGCTCGGCCCTCCAATCCGGGATAAGGAGCGAGTGGCACTCCTCCCGAAGTATGAGGAAATTCTTGGGCGACGCGTCACCGGAGCGGGGGGGGGGGCGGCTGACGTGATGCCCGCGCCTGGACCGTCTCAGCCCATCAATTTCCCGCTCCCACCTGGGTGCGATGACCACCAGGCTACCGGACCACCCGCCCCTCGGCGGCGTGACTCACGCGAGTCACAGTTCACCTCCTTCCTCGCGCACCGCCTATTCTATTGTCTTACGTAGCTTGGTTTTTTGCCGGGCGCCTCGATCTAAATGCTGGAGCCTCCGCGAAATTAAGAGTTTACGTCACAATTTTTTATTAATTTTTTAAAGTTATTTATTTGAAGTTCGCTTTGATTAGTTTATTCAAGATGTAGCAGATAGATTAAAAAATATCGATTTGTGACACAGCTAGTATCGATTGAAATATTATACTTTGATAAATAAAACGAAAACTATTCATTACTAAATATAGAATGACATGTATACACTGAATTACCTACACATAACATATACTACCAATTTTGCGATAGTGATTGGGCTTAAGATTGTGCCCAAACGGCCACTGTCTGCAACACATCTGGTCTTACAAATCTTGAGTGATTTGCAGATGGCTAAATTATTCAATCATTTCTTTGCCATGATGTTTCATGTACCTTCGAAGGATCTAAAGCTTCACTTATATTAACAACATTATACATTTGCTATGAATCACACTGATGGGTAATTTGGTCTAATTAATACGTCGGTTATCTAAAGCGGGAGAGAGTGTTCAAGGCATCAACTGACGCCATTTCAGGGCTTCTGATCGTAAAATCCTAGGCTAGAGTCTCATCGGTGGCTAGATTTTCGATACTGGTTTGTCTACTAGGTCGAATTCAGTCACTGTCTGGAGGTGAATTCTATCGGTTGGCAGCTCTGGTCGGTAGTTTTCTGTGATTTCTCCGATCAACACCAGCCTAATGCCGGAGCATTACCCTTAATAAAAGGGCCGTGCACCATCATTCCTTCGTTTTACTCACCCCTTACATACACCTACACTAACATGCACTACACTACTACACATGTCGGGGAACCGGTTGGGAGGTTAGAGCTTGTCCTAGCTGGTGTGGTGCCCCGTTAGTGGGAGATACCCTGGTTGGGAAAATAACACTAGCCGATGGTGGGTCGCGCCGGATCTCGCCATCCAGCCGGGGAAGATCACCGCCACCTTCAAAGAAAAAAAACACGCACAACACTTACGGGACAAATGACTTTAGCAGTTGACGCGCCCGGAATCACTAATAAGCAATCATTTCTTAATAGTAAAAAATAAATACTAGAAGTACTTGAATTTGGGGAGGGGGCGTGTCCCCCCACCCGAGCCAGCGCCGTTCAAGCATTATGTTGGACACAGTTCTTAATCATCTGGCGAGTATTTGCTTCCCAAATTTCCTACGCGGAGAACGTCTGCACGTTAACGTGGGATTTCAATCATTGTGATGATTTGCAGTTTTACAGTGTCCAATGTTTTGTTGATTTATGTGAAGTGGAAAAACTTGCAAGCGCTGCTTCATCAGCGTGTTCCTTTTAGTAAATTTCTCTGTCAGCAACACCAACAGTTTTAAGTGTTTCTTGAGCCATCCTTGGCAGGCTGAGTCGAGGAGCCGTCTGCGCCCTCATGGCGAGTCCCATCCCACGGAAGCTGAGGCCAAATTTCGGAGTTAGTTCACAAGGCATCTTCTGACGTCTCAGCCCCTTGTGTTCTTCATTCTTTCGCCCTGCGTCCCTCTCATCTCTTCATTTGAATTTCACCGAGGCACTGCCCTTGTGCGTTTGCAACACATGAGCGATTTTTCTGCGTTTTGGTTAGCAAACGGTGCTCACTGGCCCTAAGGCGGCCCATGGGAAGCGTTGTAGCTTCCCGCGATGCGACCCTGAGTTCGAGTCTCCGTCGTGGCAAAAATGGAGTTATAGCATTCCTTTAAAGTCGTCTCAGTTTCTGTAGCTGTGTGACAAAAAAAGGCCATGCAGTCCGGAATTTGCTATAGCACGTGCGAGGTTAAGAATGAAGTTCAGAGCGTTATGGGCTTTTCCGGTAAACAATTTTCTCCCGTTTTTAAGATTACAAAACCGTTTTAAATCCTCATTAACATAATTCGTCAAAACAACTATTTATATTAGTAAAATAATGCCTCGAATGCTTTATGTAGTCACTTCAAAGCGAGGTGAATATCTCTAGAATGTATTAATATTTGTAGGGAGCGATACGTTCGGCTGTGCCAAACTGCGGTGCCATGTGCTTCGGTTGCCCTACTCTGCTCAGAAAGTTCGCATTCCAATTGATTACCTGTGTTTGTTCGCTTGTGTTTAGTTGTGTTTTTTTCTGATATTTGCAGTTTAATCACGTGAATGTTAAATGTAATTTCATTTACTTTTCTTGAAGTGGGTATTTAGTTAGTGGTGAATTT